GTGGACTTTACAGTAGTAATTTATTTTTAAATGCATCAATTATTTTGAATATAGTAGTCATTATTATAATGTGTTTTCTGGGAGATTCAATACAACAACAATTGAAATCAATTGAACAATCAGTTTATTGTATGAATACACGAGTGATGACTGACTATGAGTTTAGACAATGGATTGCATTGAAGGCTATGATTGGAAACACAGCGACAATGTGTCCGACAATCGGAGGGTTCGCTAAACTCAATAAATCAACACTTATTTCGGTAATTAATTATATTTTTGTTAAATCCCTTATTGAAAATCTATTTATTTAATTATAAAATATTAATATTTATTTATTAATAATTTACAGATTTTTACGTTTATATTGTCTTATACTGTAATAATATTTCAAACTGCTCAACTAAAATAACTGAAAAATTTCTGTGTTAATTAAATTATCATGTTAATTTTGCTATCTGGTTACATAGATTATAAAATTGATTTATTTAAATTACATTAAACATAAAATTCATTATTAAAAAATTATTATAAATATTTTTATATAAATTATAATATTTTCAAATATAATATAAGTATCCTATTTGTATAGTAGAGTAGATTAATGTATAATATATACACATTATGTGTATTATGTGTTACACATATAGTATACAATAGCTCTAGATATGGAGATCCCATAATATTATAATTAAATATTATTTATATATAAAAATTTATTAATCATAAATTTGTTAAAAATTATCTGAGTAAAATTTATTTTTTAAAAATTATTTGTCCATTTATGGATACACAACAACAATATTAAACATTAAAAAATTATGTTATTTCAAATTACTAATGCAAAGGTCTAGTTTAAAATTAATAATAAAATATAAATCAAAACTTAATCAATAATCAAATATTATTTTAAAAATATTTTTTATGCTATAAAAATTAATGTAAAAATACTTATAAAAATAATTATTTAATAGAACTTTAATATTGATTTTATTAATAATAAATAATTAATAATACAATACAATAATTAAAGAATATATAGAAATAATTGTGTTTTAATAAATTAGAAATATTGATTAGTTAATGATTTTATAAATGATGTTTTTTGATAATAAAGTTTTCTTAATAAATTAATTTGTTTATCTACTTATTAAAAATACTATTCAATATAAAACTAAATTTTATTTTATTTTTGTTTTGAATATTTATTTTTGTTTGAAAATAATTATTTTATTCTATTTAAATTTACATACATATATAAAAACTGATAAATTAAATTAAATTTTTAATGTGAAAAATATTGACAAAATAATTATAGTAATTATTTTTTAAAAATTTGATATATAATTTATATAAACTTCAAAACATTACAATAATTGTACTTTTGTTATATATGTAATTTTTTTTAACACAATGTAAAGTCATATTCAAATTAATTCAATATTATTGTTAATATAATAAATAACTTTTATGAAAAATATTTAATCATTTAATAAAAATTTAATATGAAATCATTGATAACTAAATTATACTGGTTACTTTTGATATTTCATCAATTTATTGGTATTACATTTGGTGGATTTAGTCTAAATAAATCCATAACTAAACATGGACAATCTACTATTTTAAAATATTACGGCTACTTTATTTTACTAATCATTTTTATTTACAAACTATATTTGACACAAATTAATATTAAAAATTTAATTAATTTATCAAACAAATTAAATGGCCACAATAAAATTATCCTTTATTTGTATAGTCTTATTTCATTTACATACAATTTGTTACATATTGTACTAATTTATACATTTAATTCAACAATAACTTATAAACTTATCTCAACTTTTATTATAAATTTTAGAAAATATTTGATTACAAAACAATCAAAATTTTGTCAAATAATTTTATTAATTATTTGGGCATTTATTATAATCATAGGCATTGCTAATGTAATAATTATAATAGATATAAATATTTTATCAATATTAAGATACATATCAGTATTTTCAGCTTTTAGTACTTTATTTTTGTCTACAACATTCAATATGTTAATGTATTTAATAATGTTGCATTTAATATTAGTGTTAAAAAAATTCAAAAGAAATTTGAATAAATTTAATAATAAAAATGGTAAAATTTTAAATAATGGTAATTTAAATAATTATATAACTAAATTAATTTATTTAATTACATTTTTTTAGATAATTTAATTAATAATAATAATATTCGTATTGAAATGTCTATTATGCTTACAACTATGAATACAGAAAAATTAAAAAAATTAATTGAATATAAAATATTAACTAAAAAGTTGGCTAATATTATTGCTTTACTAAATAATACAATAAATTATTTGATGCCAATATATTTAATAAATTATATGTTAATCATAATGACTAATATTTATTGTGTGGTATATTCGGATAAAATTACAATAAATACAAATATGATTAAAAATCAACAATTATTTATAAAAATAGCTCTCGGATTGTTAATTATATATATAATTACAATGTGTTTGTTAGGCGATTCAATACAACAACACTTGAAATCAATTGAACAGTCGATTAATGAAATGACTACTCAATGGATGACTGACTATGAGTTTAGACAATGGATTGCATTGAAGGCTATGATTGGAAACACAGCGACAATGTGTCCGACAATCGGAGGGTTCGCTAAACTCAACAAATCAACACTTATTTCGGTATTTTATTTGATAATTAATTTTTTATTTTTTATTAAATTGTTTTTTTATATTTTTAATTTTATTACAGATTTTTACATTTATGTTAAACTTTACGGTCATTTTATTTCAAACGGCTAATACAAACATCTAAATTTAAAACACTATAAATTGTAAATACTTTAATAATTTAATACAATTGAAAATATTTGATATTGAATTCAAGACTAAAGTTTAAACAATAGTCCTAAATAATAAAATTTATTAATTATTTTTATTATTATAGTTAACTAAATTTAAAGCATTGAATTTATAGTTTTTATTCATATATTTTTTATTTAAATAGCCTAAAATAATAATAAATAATTTATTATTAATAAAATATTATAAAATAATTATTATAAAATATTCAAACTTAAAATATGTTAGAAATTAAAAATAATTAAAAATATTATTAGTAATTTTATATTAAATTGTAAATATAAATAATGATTAAATATGTAAATTCTATTTAAATAGAATCAGATAATTAATTAATTTTTTAAAATTAACATTTGGAAATTAGACTTATTATTGAACTTATATTTATAAAGGGTATTTATAATACAATTTTTCTAGATAGTTTGTTTTATTGTCAATTAATTTTTTTGTTTACTACTTTATTTGACTTATATATTAATATTTAAATCTATATCCTATTTTTTATATTAAAAGTAATGTACTAAATATAAACCTTTATTAAATATATTATTTTATAAATTATTACTATGTACTATTAGAAATAAATATAAAAATTATTAAATTACTATTTAATTGTTTTTACTAATAGTAATAGTGATCTAATAAATTTTTAATTTTATTACTACTAATAATAGTTTATTAGTTATTTTTCCACATATGATGATGAAATAATTTTGATAAACAAAATAATTAATTTTTACATTAATAATAATTTTGACATTTATTGGTATTATAATGATTTTATTTCTTATAATAATTATATTTCCTAATCAATAGAAAGTCATTATATTTCTATTCAACTATTATTATAATAATAAGTAATATATTTAATTAATACAATATATCAATTACTGTTTGTTAGAAAAAAAATTATTTCTATAAATAATATACAATTTATTGTTTAATTTGTGATTTGATAAAAATAACTTTATTTTTTTTTAAAAAATAGTATTCTATTAATAAGTATTAAATATTATAAGTATTAAGTTAATTGTAAAAATAATTTTATTATCTTAAATTAAGCAATTAAAGCAAAAATGATAATTAAAAAATTACATTTAATCAAATTTATACTAATATATCATCGCTGTTTTGGTATCTTATTTGGCGGACTAACCATTAGTTGTAATTCATTAAACAATATCCATATAAAACAATCAATTAAATTGAAATATTTTAGTTATTTTATTCTATTTGTTATAAATATTGTTAATATTTATAATTTAGTAATTTTTATCAAATTGTATAATATTTTAATTACAAACGAATCTTTGTTTAAATATTTTACTTATATTACAATAATAATATTATACATTAGACACAATACCTTATTGTATTTACTTAATTCAACAAATATTTATCGTTTAATTAAGCATATGTTTGAAAATTATGCTAATTATTTTATCAATAAACAATTACTCAATTATCATATTTGTATAGTAATCATCTGGGTTGTATTGCAAATATATGCATTACTATATTTTATTTATAAAATTTTCATAATTAAAAGCAGTATGCTACTAATTGTTTTACCGTTAGTATTAACAATGATAATACTGTACACATTTATATGTTTAGCATGTTCACTATTGTTAATTATTCAACATGTTGAAAATATTCTAATAAATGAGCTGGATAATTTCATAAATAATCCAAGTAAATAATATTTTTTTATTTTTATATTTCAAAATTTTTAATAATATAAAAATATTTTTTAAAAATATTTATTTTTTATTTAGATAATTTTACTAGACCCACTGATATAACTAGACTATTGATTAATTGTAAACAAACAATAAATAATCTAGGTAATAGTATTAAGTATATTAACAAAACTATTTCCTATGGACTGTGTGTTTATTTAGCAGATATAGTATCAGATATTATGTATAGTATATCTGTTGTTATAAATTTTAACAAAAGTAATACTAATGCCGAAATCTATATGATTTATAATTTTGAACTAATATTATGTATAACTACACTAATTATATTATGTTTGTTTGGCGATTCAATTCAACAAAAATTTCTATTAATTAATAATTTGGTCAATGATTTGAATACCCGAGTGATGACTGACTATGACTTTAGACAATGGATTGCATTGAAGGCTATGATTGGAAACACAGCGACAATGTGTCCGACAATCGGAGGGTTCGCTAAACTCAACAAATCAACACTTATTTCGGTATTTTATTTATTTTAATTATTTAAAAAATAAATACTAAATACTAGATAACTCTTGTTTTTTAGATATTTATATTCATACTAAATTATTCTGTGATTTTAGCACAAACTGCAAACAAAATACTTTAATTTTATATTTTACTCATATAATTGTTTTTTTTAATAAAATAGATACTATATATACTCAGATATTATTGTTTTCCAAAAAAAATAATTATAGACTAACTTTTATTTGATATAATAATAATTATATAGTTAAATATATAGTGTATTTAATATTATAATATTAACTCAAATGAACTAAGTCTAGTACAGTATTGTATATTTTTTAGTGTATTCCGTATATATTCAGTATTCAAATATTATTTTTAACTCATTTATCATTATATTTATTTATTTGTGTTTATAATATTACTATTATAATTTGTTATGTTATATAAGTTAAATTTATGTTAGACATTTTTAATAAAAACGTTATTACGTTTGATAAAACTATTTAACTATAATTTTAAAAAATATATACAAATAGCTGTATAGTAACTTATAAAGTGTATAATTTAATATTAGATTATATCAAACAACATTAACTATCTATTAAATAGTTACAGTGTATGTTCAGTACAAAAAAACATTGTAACCTTCAAACAAAATTACTTTCAATTAATTAATAAAACTTAATGTACTTAAATAAATGTCAAAAATATACTGTACATACAGTATATATATATATATAATATTATATACAGTAGAATATAAAGAAACTTTATTTTTACAACTTATTTAAAAAAACATCTTAATTATTTAGACACAAATAAATAAGTATTAAAAATATTTTTTATGTAATAAAGTATTATAATTTTCTTTTTAAAAATGTTTTATTTTAAAATGTTGTTATTAAAAAATATATTAGTTGTAACTGTAATAACATTAATAAATACTAAAACAACATCAACCAAAACAATTGACGTATCGACTACATCGGGAACTGTTAGAGGACATACCATACGTGTGCTCAACACTGATATATATGAGTTTCTTAACATACCATACGCTGAACCACCGGTCGGTTCACTTAGGTTTGCAAAACCCGTACCCATTCAGACACCAAAAACAGTAAGTTATTTAAAGAAAAAATAAATATTATTTATTAATAATTAAATATTATTTTTTAAAATAAAATAATAGTCTATTATTGATGGCACCAAAAATGGCAATTGTTGTGTACTGAGTGTCGATGAAAATACAAGAAAACAATACGAAATTGTCAATAATTATAAAGAAAGTGAAGACTGTCTAACACTAGTTGTTTGGACATCGGGTGTCGATACCGGTGCTAAACATGATGACGACCAGTTAAAGCCAGTACTGTTTCACATACACGGCGGTGGTCTCAGTACGGGTACGGCATACGATCCTATATTTAACGTATCAATTCAGTCAACATATGATATAGTTGTTGTGTCAATCAATTACCGATTGGGACCGTTTGGCTTTCTCTACGGTGGCGAACCGTCAGCACCGGGTAATGTTGGTTTCTATGATCAATTGCTGGCACTTCAATGGGTATACTATATATTGATAATATATTTTACTTACTTTGGCTAACAATTTTTCTAATTGCAAATTACAGGTTAGAGATAATATACAGCAGTTTGGTGGCGATAAAAATAAGATAACATTAATGGGCATCAGTGGCGGCAGTTGGTCCATATCGGCACAAATATTATCGCCGCTATCAAAGGGGTTATTTCAGAGGGCTATTATGCAAAGCGGTGCCGAACTATACAACAAAGACAGGCCTGTACTCAGTACTGAGGAAGGTCTGGAAAAAGCAAAAAATTTGGCCAAAAAAGTCGGTTGCGATCCGTATGACTATCACTGGTTAGACTGTATGCGTCAGGTCAGTGATGTTAATCTGTTTAGAGATGTGCCAGAAAACGGTGAATTTACTCTAATGACTTACCCGGTGTTTGGCACCGAGTTTTTGCCACAATTACCACAAAAAGCATTTAAAAATAATTTATACAATTCAGGTACTGTTATAGTATTCAATAACAAATAATGTATTTTTAATTAACAATAGTTTATTATTTTTTTGGGTATGCTCTGTACAGGTATTCAATTGATTGCCGGCATTACCCGTGATGAGGGTACGCTGATGGCAATCATGGAATATCCTCATATAATACAGGGAATATCATCGGTAGAAAGTTTCCGTAAATTACTTGACAAAGTCAACAATAGATTTCACAATTTAGATGTCAAACAATTAGAAGACTATTATCTCGATATTGATGTCATCGATCGGGAAAATCCGATTGTATTGCGCGACCAGTTTCTCAAACTATACGGTGATCTTGCAATGTCGTGTCCAACATATAGATTTGCTAAACACATGGTCCAGGATATTGCCGGTGCCGACAATGATGTATACTTTTATTTGTTTAACTATACAACCAATCAGGGAGTTATTGGCGAACTTATGACTCAATGGTTTACCGATATTGTACCGCACGGTGCGGATATTGATTTGACTTTTGGCGATCCGCTTAGATATCCGAACCTCTATAAAGAATTAGACTATGATTTTACTCTAGATTTGTTGAAAATATGGACCAATTTTATTAAATACGGGTATTGTATTGATTGTGCATTATATTTGTATAAATAAGTTTTATAACAAAAAATTATTTATTTATTAATTTACTAAATAGTATATTACCGGTTATTAATAACTTTTTAAAAAATATTTTTTCTATTTTATTTATTAATTTATTAGTAAACCATCTAATGATTGGCCCAAATTTGATATCAATAACTTGAAAGTTAGAGAATTAAATCCACACAACAGTGAAGCACGTGTTTTGGACAACCTTTTTGAGCGCACGTGCGATGGTGTTTGGAGTAACTATTTTTGAGCACAAAAAAACAAACATTAATAACCATTACTTACATTAAATACTAATTAAAAATATTGAATTATTTTTTTTAAATATGTTATTATTAAAAATAAATAATAAATATCTATCGTTATTAAAATATTTAATACACTAATATAAATTGAAAACAATATTCATTTTTAAAAGTAACAATAAAATTTATTAGAAATATATTTTATAAAACAGGTAAACATTACTATAATATATTTTATAATACTATAATATAATACAGTAAATATTGATATAAAATAAATATTAATGAATAGTATAGTTACTATACTATAGTATATAGTAAAACAAATGACCTTGATAAAAATATTTTATATAATTTCCAGTGCAAATAAAAAAAATATACAGTATAATGCACTATTATTAAATTGATTTATAGTAAATTTATAAGGATACAAAATGTAAACACTAATATACTATAAAGTAATACAAGAATACTAATAATAAACAATTTTTATCTGATTATTAAACATTTATTGACTTTAAATCAAATATACAATAGTATATAAATTAATTTTTATTTAAATTAATAATATTTAATATATTTTAATGATAAAATAATTGTTTAAAATATTTTTAAAAATATTAATTTATGAGATACTTTAAAAATAATACTATAGTAATCAATGTTAATTTTTTAACAAAACAAAACAATACTGAACATTTATCAAATTTTGCAAAGTTTGGGTATTTATTTATTTATTTTAATAGTATAGTATTATACTTTTTATTGAGATTATTATATATATTTTTTAATAATAGTAATCCCCATAAAAATTGGCCAAAACTTTTCTGATTATAATAATAATAATAATAATAATAATGTTATAAATGTTAGAAATTGATCACAGAATAACATGACACGTGTTTTAAAAATCCATTTTTTACAGCACGTGTGACAGTGTTTGGGACTATTATTTCTTAAATAAACGTTTAGTTTTTATTATTAATAATTTTATTAAAAATGCAACTTTATATATATTACATAGATGAATAAGTTTGTTAATTTAAATAACACAAAAGTAAATATTTTAATAGTTTTAAATATTAGATAATAAACAACAAAAACTTTTAATAATATGTCCATTTTTTCATAACAAAAATATTTTTAAAAATTAATTATTATCTGAGCTGGATTAATTTAATCAATGATTTGTACTTGTGAAACGAAAGTTTTATATATATATATTAAAAATAAGAGAAAGAGAAAAAAAATAAAAAAATTTATTGCTTTATATTTTAGAAAGTAGTAAAAAGTAGTATTAAACTTAAAAATAAAAAAGAAAAAGATTAAAGTTGGACATAATAGATGTTTTTATGGTTAAAAAAATCAAAATTTATAGTTTTATTTTTTAGTAAAATCTAAGTTAACATAGAAAAGGCTAGAAAAAAGATTTATTGTTATGTTTAAAGAAAAAGACATTTAAGAAAAAGAAAAATGAAAATTAATTTTTTATAGTTATGAGACTGACTGTTGGCTCTAACCAATAGTTAGCTTAAAAAAACTATGTTTTTGAAAGTAGCCAATAATTTAGTATTTTTTACTCATGTTTTGTACGAGTTTTTTCATAATGAAAAAATATTTTTCAAAAAAGGTTGTATTTTTCACTCACTTCTAATTTTGTTGCGTTACTATTCAGACGTTTATTTTATGTCAAAATTCCTAATATTGATTTTTTCTTACATAAAATCTAGTATTTGTTTTTTGAGTTGATTAAAAATCAAAGTGTTTTTAAACAGTTATGTAAAACAGAATTGCTATTTGAAAATCAAAAATTGTTTTAATGTAATTGATGCAAACATATCTTAACATTGAAAAGTGTCGAACAATTGATGCAAACATATCTTAACATTGAAAAGTGTCGAACAAGTACTGCAGATATTACATAAAGTCGTCACATATTGAGATCACGGAAATCAGCCGACACCGATCGAAATTGTTGGTCAGCCGCCATCGATCGAAATTGTTGGTCAACCGCCGCCATCAAAACATCTGGTCAGTCGCCGCGGGTCAGAAGATAGAGACCAATTTGGACGTTTAAAAATAAACTTGTGACGAGTCTAGGTCAGAGTTCTTGGGTGTATTGTTGAGTCAGGTATGCAATAAATGTTTCAAATTACATAATTTTGTTAAATTCATTGATTATTATTATTACGTGACTATATATATATCATCAGTGTGACATTGCTTGCGTGTTCGAGTTTCATTGACATCTTACTTGTTGTTATGTAATCATAACATCGAATAAGATGCACTATAGTGATGTGATACCATTGCTCCCTCAATGAAACATTTAGGGCCAAATCCTCTTTTGAAATTTATCTGAAGTGTAATGATAGTAGTTATTTCATGAAATGAGTTGGTCGTATAAATTCGATCTGATTATAGAAATTAGTATCGTAATTAATGAGATCATTCTATATATGATACGTCGAATGTTTAGACAAATTTGATGTTATATTAAACCCCTACCTAATATTTTGGGAAATGTTGAAAATAGCCCGCGTGGAAAGATTAAATTATTTATTAATAAATATTTATTGATAAATAGTTATGAATTAAATGTTAATACATTGATGATCGAATGAATGAAAAACTCGTTGTATGAAAGTTAAATGAATGGGGAAGCAATAATTGTCATAGACAATTAATTGCTTTAATTTAGAATTAAAACTACTTTATTTGACATTCATTTGTCAGTATCGTAGAGAAGGGATGGGACCTAGTTAGTACTCATTAAGTAATGATCAATTTTAAAATTTAATTTCCATGCCGAGCCCAAATAACTGAGACGACAACAGTACCTTACAACACGTGTTATCCCCCACGGTCATTGTATAGTCATCCAACCACATCAATATAACAAAAACATTTCTAAATGTAAGTCAACATTTAAATTCCTATCCGTGTCACTTGTGATGATATCAAATGATTTGAAAGCTGTTATTGAAAACTCATTTCATAAAATAAAATAAAAAATTAAACAATCATTTATTATATTAAACAAAATTATAATATAAAATATAATTTTCTATATTATATTAATGTTTTTTAAATAAAAGTTTTCTAAAACAATCAAAAATCTCATTTATTAAAAGTTAATAAATTTATTTCAAAAATAATAATTAACTAAATGTTTTTTTACATATTATTTATTTTATGATTAAACAAAAATACTATTTTATTATTTGATAAACTAATTAAATTATTCATTAAAGTCTTATTCATTAAATATATTGTAAACATTAATTTGATTGTTTTGTTGACTATATTTTTGATTATTTCGAAATATTTTATAAATGTTTATTTATTAAAATTATTTTCTTTTAAATTTCAAGTATTAAATTATATATTTGTCCATTAGTTTAATTTTTTTATTTATAATAATTATAGTTTTAGTTAAATTAATTGATAAACTTAATGTACTCAAATTTTTTTTTGATTTACTTGAAAACCTTGACTATTGTATGTTAATTTATAAAAAAAAATTTGAATGTACAACTTTTAAATTTTTGATGTATATTAATTTATTAAAATTTAATGTACTATTATAGGTTGGTTTAAAAATATGAATTAATATTTTATAATAAAATTAAAGTTTTATATAAGTTTATTAAATATTTATAAAATTATACTTGCTGAAACAATTTATCTAAATATGTGTATAAAATTATTTATATTAAGCTATTTAGTCAATCAAATAGTAAGTACAGATAGTAGCAAATCATCACTGGATGTAATCACCAGTTCGGGTGTAGTGCGGGGACAGACACTTCATATACTTAACAAAAATGTCAACCAATATCTGAATATACCGTTTGCCGAACCACCGGTCGGTAGGTTAAGGTTTGCCAAACCTGAGCCATTAAAAGTACCTAAAACTGTATGTATATATATATATATAATATATACTGTATATTAAGTTTTATATTTGCATTAATAAATAAATAAGTTTTTATGTTATTTTACATAATGTATGTATTAGGATATTATTGACGGCACAAAACTAGGCAATAGTTGCATACAAAGCACAGAACCAGGATTTGAGGAAATATTTGGTGGACTTGCGCTTAATGAGGACTGTTTGGTGCTTAACGTGTGGTCACCAAATGGTAATAATGCTAATACCGGTGATAATAACCAGCTTAAGCCGGTAATGTTTTGGATATATGGCGGCGGACTATCAATGGGATCCATATTTCAAAACATTTATAACGCGTCAGCATTGGCCGCCAGCGGTGATGTGGTAATAGTTGCGGCTAACTATCGTCTCGGAACACTTGACTTTCTATACGGTGCCGATAATAGTGCACCGGGAAATGTAGGACTATATGACCAACTGTTGGCACTCAAATGGGTCAGAGATAACGTTCATGCATTTGGCGGAGACAGGGATCAGATTACTATATTTGGCGAATCAGCCGGCAGTTGGTCCGTATCGGCGCACATATTGTCGCCGCTATCTAGAGGTCTATTTCGTAGAGCTATTATGCATAGCGGCTCAGTTATGTTCAAAAAGGATCGGCCTATTATCGATACAGTAGAAGCATTGGAAAAAGCTAAACACAGGACCAGTCAATTAGGATGCGATCCATACGGCTATCATTTGTTGGACTGTTTGAGAAATATTACTGATCCAACTGTATTCATGAATCCGTCTACCAATGATATGACCGTTTCTTTAGTTTATCCCGTAATTGGTACTGAATTTTTGCCACAATTACCACAAAAAGCATTTGAACTGGGTCAGGTTAATACAGGTATAATTTCAAATTTTTAAATTATATTTTTTAAAATTATTCATTTAAATTACAATTATTTAAATAAATATCCAGATATTGATCTAATGGCCGGTACGACAACACACGAGGGTTTAGCAATGGCATTGATGTGGTTCCCCGAAACTATTACCGGCAAACAGTTTACTGAGGATTTATTTGGTACTATTGTTGATAAATTTAATCAAATGTTTCATAACTTGGATAAGGATAGCCTAATTAAACACTATCTGAGCAATATTACTAATGACAACGACAATGTAGTACAGGCCATGCGTATAGCACTGGGCGATTTGTTTGGCGATATACTTATGGTGTGTCCAACGTATGAGTTTACCAAACAGTTTGCCCAGACTAGTAATAATAATAATAATAATAATAATTTATACTATAGTATTATCAATTACAATATAAATCGGAAAATAATATATTTGTATCATTTGATAAGGCACTGGCACTCGATGCCAGTATTATACATCATGGATGTGATATTGAATTTATATTTGGCATACCTCTACTTAAACCGATAGGTTATAGCGAACTGGACTATGATTTTAGTCTACATGTAATGCAATTGATTACTAATTTTGCTAAATATGGGTATTTATATTTCTCTCTCTCTCTCTCTCTCTCTCTCTCTTTCTGAGTGTGTGTGTATTTTATACTTAATTATATATAAATTGAAAATTATTTTATTAGTAAACCAGACAATGAATGGCCACAATTGTTGGACAACAGTATAGATAATGCAATCAAAGTACGTGTACTGACACGTGTTGTTGAAAATCCATTTGCCAGCACGTGTGACGGTGTTTGGAATAATTATTTTTAAAATAAACCGTTTTTAATTTTTATTATTAACGCGCTAACAACAAACGTGTGCCATCGGCACAAATCCATGTATACCTTTGAATCCTAAAGTGTGCCGTCGGCACAGAGCAAATCAACCAATCAGAATTGATCGAATAAAATTTAAACTATAGTTGATTTTAAAAATTTATCCATATGTTAATAAAGATTTATTTTATGTATGTCTTTAATAAGCAATTATAAAATATGTTTAAATTTTTTCATTTATACTTAGTCACAAATTATAAAATGGGAAAAAATAGCTGAAGATGGTGATAATTAGATCCAATTATCATCTAATGGTAAAAATAGCTGAAGATGATGATAATTAGATCCAATTATCATCTAATGGTAAAAATAGCTGGAAATACTAATAGCAAATGTATAATTTTAGATCACAAGCTGATTTTACCATTAGATGATAATATGATCTATTCCTCAACTTCTTAAGCTGATTTTACCATTAAATGATAATATGATCTATTCCTCAACTTCTTAAGCTGATTTTACCATTAAATGATAATATGATCTATTCCTCAACTTCTTAAGCTGATTTTACCATTAAATGATAATATGATCTATTCCTCAACTTCTTAAGCTGATTTTACCATTAAATGATAATATGATCTATTCCTCAACTTCTTAAGCTGATTTTACCATTAGATTATGCTTATGGGTTTTGCTAGTATGAGTTAACAATTTATTAATGACTGTGAAACCGTTAAACAATTTAAATTATTTCTAAATTTTGATTGGTTTAGTATTAATTCAATATCGCGAGCTATAATAATCGGGAGCTAAGGGTAAAAATAGCTATATTTTACAGGTCTAAGAGCGTTAATTAAATTTTATTAAAAAAATACAACTTTACACAATATGAAATAAGTTTGTTTAATTAAATATTTTAAAAATAACTAAATAAATTTATAAATATAATAAACAAATGAATATTTTATAAATTATTAATACAATATAAAAAGTTTAATATTTAAATATAAAACAAACTAAAAACTTTAGATTAGCAAACTATATATATATATATATATTGTATTTGTATATTGGGTATTTTTGTTTTGTTTTTAACTTAATAATTAACATTTTAAAATAATTATTTGTTTTTTAGTAAAAAAAGACACTAATTGGCAAAATATAAATTATTGTTAAACTTCAGTAAAGATAACAACAATATTACAAAAAATAATATGATTTGTCACGTGTTTAAAACCAATTAGCCGTCACGTGTTTTTTGCACTAATATTTTTTGTTAACTAATTTAAAGTTTTAGAAAATAATTTTTTTTTTAAATTAACTATAAATTATCATTTTATTAATTGCAAAACTTTTACTTTAATAAAATTGCACACTCATAGCAAATAAACAAACAAATATGATGCACGTATTATTTATTAAAATAAATAATTAGAAAATTAAGTTATCATTTATTATGCTATACTTAATAAAATTTGCAAATAATTAATTAGTAATTTATAAATATATTTTATATTAATGTTTGTTTCATACAATTTTTTTGAAAAATAACCGAAAATCTCATGTATTAACATTAAAAGTTAATACTTTTTATTCATACAAATAATTAACAAATGTTTTATTTTGTCGTATGATTTAATTTATGATAAAACAAAAATATTATTTATAATATAAAGTTAAATCTTAATAATCTAATTGCAAAATTTAGTCAATTAACTAAAATGCAAAATCATATTACTTTAAAACATAATAAAACAATAGAAATAAACCAGTGATAATGCTATAAAGCATTTATATAAACAAACTTTGACGCCATAAGATTATCTGTTTGCATCATCATAATTAAAACCAGTTGAGAATGCTAGAAAGCATTATCCAAAAACAAATTTTTATCGTGTAAATTATTTCTTATTGTCATATTATAAACAAAATATTTATTCTTGATACCCAATAGTCCATATGAGTCATATTATTAAATTATTAATTGACAATGTTCATGACAAAGTATTTTATTAAAACAATATATTTATGGTGATGCAATATTAATGCAAAATTAATTTTTTATAAAGATTTATCCACCATTTTATATAAAAATAATATATTGTTATAACTTAATGTTTTAATTAACTACATTTAGATATTTAACTTAAATTTTAACAACTAAAATTCATTTTTTAATTTATCCGTTACTGAAGAAATATCGAAATTTTGATTTCTATACCTTATTTTTGATGCTTTATTCAAATCTAAACTTTAAAATTATTAACTAACTATTTACTTATATTAACTATTTTTTTTGTATTTTGGCCACTATTTTCTGTATGTTCCTGAAAAGATAACAAAATTTTAATGATTATATTTATATATTATTTTTCATGTTCTAACTGAATCTGAAATAAAATTGTTAACGGACACACTCAAAAACGCTCGTAAGATTTCAGTAAACAAAACTTTTTAAAAGTTTGTTTGAAAATTATTATATACAGTATATATATAACTAATTAATTTTTATAGTTTACTAATATAAAATTTTTTAATATAGAGTTTTTTATAAGTAATTATTAGAAGATTTCTAACAACTTTATTTGATAATAAAAACTAAATTATATTTAATTAAATTAATTAAGTTATTGATTAATATGTTATTAATTAAATATATTGTTAACATTAATTTGATAGTTTTGTTTTCATTAAATTTTTTTAATACAATTATTTGTATTGATTTGTCTCTGTTATTAGGAAATCATAATTATGTCATACAATTGTATTCACATTTTCTAGTATCCAATGTTAGCTATGAATGCAAACAAGTGATCGACTATTTGGTCAGACATCCCAACGATATGACAGCACTTAAATGTAATTAAATAATTAATTAAAATAAATAAAATATAATTATCATTTTTTATATAAATATATTATCAGTATAATGTATTTTTTAAATCATCAATTTATCAGTGATTGATTCAAGTGCTGTCATCGGCTCCGGTATTATTGAAGGAAATTTGAATTTTATGGGACAATACAGTGAATGTATTGGCAATAGTGCCGACATTATTATTGACAAACAATTACATAAATTCAATTCACAGTATTGTACACTCAATATAGATGTAAATCAAATTGTTTATTAATATTAATATTATTTTATTATAGCAATTATTTATTATTCCTATAATCTCAATTATTATTATTTTTTTGTAATAGTTTTTCAACAATCAATCACTGCATCCATTAATTGGTATTTGTTTTCCTCAATCATGCAATTCAAACGATTTGCAAACAATTTTTCAATCATGTAATTAATTTATATTAATGATAAAAATACTACTAAAAACAAAAATCTATATATATATATATATACTGTATATATATTCTGTATATATACTGTATATATACTGTATATATATATGGTAAATATAACGTATATATACCGTATATATACTGTGTATATATACAGTATTTAAAAATAAATATTATTTGTCTTCTTATATATTAGTTTTTATTAAATCTGATATTAATTTTTCGATAAAACATTGTACTAATGGTGCTTATAGTCCACTAAAGTGGTATCACATAATTATTATGTAAGTATTATATTATATCAACAACAACAACAAATAAAAAAATTTAAATAATACTTTAGTACTACTAAAGACATTTAATATAGTTGATCTATAATGTTATAATAATAGTAAATTTAAAAAACTACTTTTATAAATATAGTATATATTAATAAAAATTATTTAATATTTCTATACTTATATATATATATATATATTAATAGTTGCTGTTTTGTTTCAATTGCCATTTTAATAATAATCGGTACAATAATTGATTGTTCAAAATACTGTCAAAAAGATAAATGTAAATTATTATTAATTTTTTTAAAATTATTTATTTTAATATATAATATTAATACTTTTTTTAAATTTAATAATTTAAAAAAAAATTTATTGTTAGCATTGAATTCAACAAACAAATGGATACAATCTTTGGTTGCATTTTCATTGTACACAAATACGAGACAATTAGTAACAGTTGGAAACCAATCAATAAATACAATCAATTGTTTTCATGGCTTACGTGTTATCAGTTTAATAATTGTAATAACATATCATACAATTGATGCATATACAACAAATTGTAAGTTTATTATTTTTCTATTTTAACTAAAAATTTTGCTTTAATTCAAACATTAACTACTATGGGTTGTTAAAATTTAATAGATTTTTTTTTTAAAAATCTATCATTCAGTTAATAATATAAATTAAAAGTATTAAAATCATAGTATTTTAACCGCAAACAAAAACTATTGATTATTAAAAAATAAATTATGCTTTAATAAAAAAATACTAAAAAATATTCTCATATTTTTGACAGTAATTTTTTATATGATTATAAAAAATTAAAAAATATTATTATCGTTTTATTAAAACTAATTAATATAAAAATATTAATTTTAAAATCAACTATTATAGCTTCAAATAGTATAGAAATAATACCAATGTATTCATCAATTGCAATGCAATTTATACTGAATGGTATGCTTTGGATTGATATATTTTTCCTGTTATCGGGATTCCTGTGTGCGTACAGTGTTTTACGTGAAGTCAAACAAACATCTGTTCGTAAATATGCCGGAAATATCTTATGGAAAATAATTCATCGCTATATTAGACTTACGCCGTCAGTGTTGGCAATCATTGGTTTCTCATTACTAGTGGAAGTGATGTCTTCGTCTCCGTTTTGGTTTATATTTGTTGACAATAATAAGTCGTGTCTAAAGAATTGGTGGAAAACTATACTTTATTTAACTAATATTCAGTTTAATAATAATAACGAAAAAGTATGAAAATAATATTAATAATAATAATCATAAATATCAAGATTTTTTTTTTAATTATTTAATTATTCAATAATATTCTTTTATTTTAGTATTATTTTTAGTATAATTTAAACAATTATTTTAATATTTTAGTGTTTGGGTCATACGTGGTATTTGTCAGCCGATATGCAAATGTTTATAGTGTCACCCATTTTCATAATACTATTGACGTGCAATGATATTAGGTATTATATTATATAATATTTAAAAAAACAATAAATTATATAAATATATCATATAATATGAAAAAATATTAATTTTAATTTTTATAATTAATGTAAAAATACATATAGAAAACAATATTTAGGTATTGCTATAAATATTTTGGCAATTATAGCATCATGGACAATTAGTGCTCATATATTAGCTAAAAATGAATCAACATCCACTGCTGATTTTAGATTTTTTATGTATGAATATATTAATTATTTAGTTTAAAATAATTTTAATTAAAAAAAATAATTAAACAGTTAATTAATTGATTAACTATAGTAAAGATGTGAAAATAATTGACTATTTGTTTGCATCCTATTGTCGTATACCTGCCTATTGTATTGGTATATTAATGGCGTATATCTATAATAAATTTGGAAAATTAAACATCAATTGGGTTTAAGTCACTTTATATTTAATTAATTAATATTAATTAATTGAGAAAAAAATATTATTTTTTTTATATTATAGACAACTAATATACTATTATGGATATTATGTATTGTCATAAATTTGGTAAACATTTTATCAACATATTTCTGGTTTTCAGGCTATAGTTATCACAATTTTGGTTTTCTATTATATGGTACTATTAGTCACACCGTTTGGTCAATATGTTGGGCATACATGCTGTATGCCTGTGCCATTGGACAGGGAGGTATTGTTAATCGGGTACTTTCATGGTCAGCATTGATACCATTGAGTCGATTATCCTATCAAGGATATTTGATTCAATCTGTATTAATATTTATTATATTAGCAAGTTTACCCCTACCATCATATAGTAACTCCATTAATCTGGTAATTATTTGTTAAAATTAAAAAAAAATCTAATTTATAATTTATCGTTTGTAAAGTAAATAATGTATATAAATAATTACAACAAAATTTTTACTTTTTAAACTAAAATATTTTTGTTTCTTTGTTTGTTTTAGTTTATGACAATTATATCAATAACTGTACTCAACTTTTTTATAAGTTATTTAACTTATATTATGTTTGAAATACCAATTGGTAAAATTGAAAGTATTATTAAAAGAAAATAAAAAAAAATTTTTATAAATATAAATATTTAGAGGTATATATAAAAAAAATATTTATTTATTTATTTGCTACAGTAGTATTTAAACATACAGTATATAGATATATATTATAGTACAAACAAATAATATAAGTATTGTAATTTATATAATTTATCACTATTTAATTATTTATATATCAAATAATAATTGATTTCTTATATATATTAATAAAATTATTTAGCAAAATATAGCTTAAAAATTGATTGATTTTACTTATTTGTAATACAAATCTTGTTATTATTAAAAAATATTAGTTATTTTTTAAGTATCCCATTTAAATATTTATATAAAGTTATTTTACAAAAATGTATCACATGTTTATGTGAGAAATATTTTCTAATAATTAACATTATTTTTAGGACTTAGTTTTTACACCAAAACTATTGTATTATTTAACAACAAAAATTATAAGGGATTTCTTTAATAAAAATATTGAAAAACTTAAAAATTATATATTTTAATATATTTGTTTGTTAAGTGTTTTAATGTATGTTTTAGAATATAATGAATTTTAAAAAAATTATAGAATTAACTAATTATAGTTAAATTTACATATATTTAGTTTACTGTTAATCAGTATTAGTATTAATATGTTTGGCAATAATATTATATATCTAATTAGTATTATTAATTTTTATAAGTTTTGTTAAATAGTTTATTTAAAACATTTAAAAGTTTTCTTAACACTTTATTTGATAATTAATAAAATATGGAACAAAAAAATAGGGCAAATAAAATAAAATAAATTTTTACAATCTAAACATGTATTGAATATATTATAATTGGTATAATAACTAATTATTGATATAATCAATGACAATGCTATTCTACTTTTTTTTAAAAAAAAACTTTAATTTTTTTTTGTTAATTTTTTTCACAATCAAATAAAATTTTGAATAGTTAAATAAAGAAAAAATCAATTTGAAAAACAAAAATATTTGTCACATTTATTATTAACTTATTAGTTTAGTTAAGTTTTTGATAAAATTTTTTTATCATTTTGTAAAAATAATTTATCTAATAATTAATGTCAAATCCAAAATTAAAAGTACTATTTCTACCGATTAACGGTACGGGTCATGTAAACGCTTCTATAGCATTGGCACAGGTGCTCATCAAAGCCGGACACGAGTGTACGTTTGCGGTCTATGGCAACGAATGGATGGGCAAACTAGAGCCGTATGGTATCAATGAAATTGTTTGGTTAGAAAAAGACAAATTGGACGCCAAAAGCTGGGGTTTGTATTTTAAACAAATAGGTATTTTAGGACCAATAGATCCATCGGAAAAGTCGGTGATACTATTGAAAGATCAAAAACATAATATCTATAATTTTCAACAACAACTTGAGATCAATGTTCAACAAACTATAGAAGAGGTTCGACCAGATATTATACTATGCGATCATTTTTTATCCATAATATCGGTGATGAAGTCGGGAATTCCGTGGGTATTGGTTTGCAGTTGTAATCCACTAGTACTCAAACGGGACGATAGATTACCACCGGCTTTTTCCGGTTTGTTTAAACTAAACTAATTTATATACAGTATATATATATATAATATATATATTTAAAAAAGAGATTTATTACTAAATTATATTAACACAAAGTCAAGTTATATACAAATTGTATATTAAACTGTTTAATGAATTCATTCAAAACATAAAGTTAACTTGTGGCAAATTATCAGAAAAAAACTAATTATTTATTATTTAAAAAATACTATGCAATATTAAAGTGTATTTAGATAATTTATCAAATTAACTATATATATACTCAATAGTTTTTTTTTGTTTTTGTCCCATTGATACAAATAAGTTAATTAATGTTATTATTGTTATAATTATTAAACTAATTATTTTGGTTAATAAATAGGTTTACCGACAAACGGACCCATTAGTGAGTGGCAAACATTTAATAATTTTTATAAAGAGGGCATTCAAGAGATGTGGCAAATGTTGAATGATATACAAGTGGCCAATGGTTTCCCGCAATTAAACGAAAGATCATTAATTAATGAATCAAAATATCTGAATATATACGGCTATCCATTGGAATTGGATTATCTGGACATAAGACCACTGCCCGACAATTGGTATCGTTTTGATAACTTTTTACGAAATGATAAACATTTACGATTTGAATTACCGGAACAATTGCGGGACAAACCGGGAAAACTTATATATTTTTCGTTGGGTTCAATGGGCGGCGCAGACGTTGATAATATGAAACGTTTGGTCGATATTCTGGCAAAATCTAAGCACAGATTTATTGTATCGAAAGGACCGTTAGCTGATGAATACGATCTACCAGACAATATGTGGGGTAAGGATAGTCTACCTCAAGTCAATATCTTGCCATTAGTTGATTTGGTTATAACTCACGGCGGAAACAATACTATTACCGAAATGTTTGCCTTTGGAAAGCCTATGATAGTTATACCACTGTTTAGCGATCAGTACGATAACGCACAGAGAGTCCATGAAAAAGGTTATGGTATACGACTCGATGCCTACAAATGCACTGAAGAGGAACTGTTGACTTCAATTGAAAATATATTAAACGATAAACTGTTGTCTGAAAAATTGGCTAAAATATCCAAAAGAATTCTTAATGAAAATAGTTTAACAAAATTACCGCAAATTTTGGAAAATTTAGTTAAAAAATATGTTTCAACTAATAATAATAATAATGATAATAGTGTTGTAGATAACTATTAAGAAACATTATATTTATTAAATATTATGAGTTTTCAACTTTATTATTAATTTTAAAAATAGATATAAATAGATATATAGATATTTTATTCGGAATAAAATAAAAACTAATATATTTCAAAAAATTATTAACTATATTTTTTAGATTTATTAATTTTATAAACTATTTTGTTTTCAATATCAATAAAATTATATAATATTAACATAAATAATATTTTAAAATCTATTTATTACAAAAACAGCTAAACATTATTAGTTTAGTTTTTAAATGCTTTACATTAATTTGTTAAGCAATACTTTACTATACTATTACTGTTCAATTGTAAATTTTGTTAATCATTTAAATTTATCAATGTTACAATGGGGGGGATGCAAGAAATCTTACCCCTTTATGAGATTTTTCTATTGTATTTTACCTAAAGAAAAAATAAATATACAATAATATAAAAGTTTCAAAATGTCAAAAATAATATTTAATAAATGTCTTTATATTTGAATACTCATGTTGACTATACATTATTAGTTACATTGTATCAATTTATATATCTTTTATGACATATCATATAAAATCATATGTATTTATTAGTATTAGTTAATTTTGTTAAATAAAATAGAAAATAATTTAATAAATATATTTATTTTTTAAAAATTTATAACAAAATAAATATATTAATTAAAGTTTTATTTCTTGTCAAAAATGCTTATAAATAGTTTAAATTATTTATGCATAGTAGTATACATAGCACTTGACACGCGATTTAATCCTCCTATAGTTTTAATCCTTTAATCCCCTACTAATCCTCTTATCAGTTAATCCGATCAGTCCGTGCGTAAAAGTTATGAATAAAATAGTACTACTACATGTAGTAGTAGTACTATTGACCATTCATAAATTATGTAAATGTGTAAAAGTGATGTTATGCAATATGTCACGTGACATATTGCATCACAAGAAATTAAAATGATTTTTTAATTGTGCGTCTATTTTTTTTATTAATTAATTATTTTTTATTTTATTAAATATTAATAAAGTTAAATACATATAAATAAAAGTTAATTACAATTAAGTTTAATATAATTATTAAAATAATTTAAAAATATAGTTAATAAATTATTAGTGTTATTAATAGAATTAACACCAGTTAATATTAATTTTCCATTTTGTGTTACTGTTATTTTACCACTACTGTTAAAATTAATACGCATGTGTGGAAATAACTCTAAATCATAATTAACTAATATATTACAATTAATTAAATAATTATAAAAATTAATAAGACTAATATTATTATTTAAAATATAAAATGATGCAATGTTTGTAGTGACAATGTTTTGAGGTTTAATAGTATATCCAAGTTTTTGTATCATTCGAGCTGTCTTTCTTAAAGCCATCCTTCCGTCTGATTGAGAGTTAGCGCCAATACATACAAGTTTTCCGGTGTCGTGAATCATAACTGTTGCTTTAGGATTTCGTAATTTCATAACAACACGAATAAAATATTTGTTTTGATAAATGCAATTATTTAAATTATTAGTTATTAATTTTAAGTCTAAATATATAGGGTAAACACTTAAATCACAAGTCATAGAAACATTTGTTATTTTAGCCATTATTTAGTATTTTGAAATTTATTAAAACGTTTCTTAAACGTTTTATTAATCTCTTTCTTAGCTGAAGGTTTATTATTAGATGGTATGGTTATAGTTGGTTGTTCATCTATGTCCATAGGTTCTTCTGTTGAAAGAGATTGAGTTACTGTTGATTCGACTGAAGGTGTAGTATTTGGTATGTTTTTTGGTTGTTGTCCAAAGTCGATGAGTGTTGACAATATTTTGTTTTTCCACTGATGCAATAGTTGAACTTCATTGTAGTTAAAGACAAATAAATTATCTTTAGTTGGTGTTTGTTGGTAAACACAAATCAAGTCATAAACTATTTGGTAATACAGCTTTGATTTATCTGTTTTAAAAACAGATGATTGTCTATGTTTAATACACAATTGACTAATAAACCAAAAGAATTCTTTACATTTGAAACACAGACCACCAGGTTGTAATTGGTTACTATAATAATCACGGATTTGAATAAACTTTTCATATGCGTTTTGATGGACAATAGCATATATACCGAGTTCTCTATGGTAATCTGTAGATCTAGAAATAATAATATTAAAATCTAAGTCAACTCGCTGAGGCATTGTAAACTAATAAAGTATAGTTTGCTACTAGACTACTGCTATACTTTTACTGGTATGAAAGGAGTGTGCGCATAAACCGGTTATTAATGTTGATGCAATCTAACTGGTTTAAACCGGTTTATTAATGTTGACGCAATCACATGATTTCAAAACCTGATTTAATTATTAACGCTTTGATGATTTGTTATAAAAGAGAGATGATATGATAACTCATTATACAGTTTACTTTACTCTCTTTGACTATTAATATCATTATTACAACAAGATAAGCAAAATGGGTTTAACAGAGAAATATTTTCAAGTATTTTCAAAATTTTTTCACGAAAAGTTTCTGTATTCACATGAATATGTGGTTCGTGTTGTAGAAAGTGAATACAATGGTGAAATTACCAAATATGTGGATATACGTAAAACATACATTGAAAATGACGAGAGAAGATTCACAAAGATTGGCGTCTGTTTGGAAATGAATGAGTTTAAGGAATTAGTGCCATACCTCGAAGCTCAAAATGGCCGTCCTATCATTGATCAGGTGAAACAAAGACTCATCAATTTTGATAAAACCAAATATGGTTTTGCATTACGTCTTCGGAATAAGAAAGCAGAACAAAATTTGTTTCTGTGTGAAGATGACCTCAAGAAACTATTATTGTATAAAAATGAAATATTGTCATATTAATGTATTATTATTTAACTATTTATTATTTAAAAAATAAAATAAAAACGATAAAACAAAACAAAAACAAAAAATTAATTCCAAAAATAGATGCACAACTAATATACAAATAATTTATTATGATGTAACATATCACGTGACATATTGCATCACAATTAATTAAAAAACAATAACATGTGGTATGTAAGCATACTAGTGCTATTATAACCAATAGGAATGTGTTAATATGACGTCATTGTCTTTAAAGAGTGTTCATTGGTTATAACAGTAATGTATTTAATTAATGTTGATGCAATAATAAAGTATATAAAGCATAGTAGTGCACACTATACTAATAGATACCAAATTTATAACGTTTTGTTAACATTGAATTATAATTATAAATAATATAATAATTATATGTGATTTACAATGGCCTCTGGCAATGAAGCTATTTTTAGTAAAATAGAAGATAGAATACAATCATTTAATAACCCTGAATGGATTAACACTGTTGATTGGACACGTGATTACAGGAAGTTTGCTTTGGCTGGATTTTATTCAATTGGATATTTAGATTACGTTAAATGCTTTAGTTGTGATGGACGTTTGTGCTCATGGACACCAGTTGATGATCCATGGATCGAACACGCAAAGCATTACCCTCATTGTGACTATCTTAGAGCACAGAAATGTCAAAGTTTTATAACAACTTGTCGAGAAATGTATTATGAAAGACCTGTTGTAAATGTAGAAATGTTATTTGAGTACACGTACTCATCACCGCATCCTCCATTGGATGTTCAAACACAACCAACTGTTGAAATACAACAAAGTCATCAACAGAATAATAAAATGCTTTGTAAGATATGCTATGAAAATGTAATGGAAGTGGTGTTTCTACCTTGTGCACATCAGATATCGTGTATAAGATGTAGTCAGCGTTTGCTCAAATGTCCTTATTGTAGAGCTAATGTTACAAAAAGATTAAAGTATTTATATGTTAATATTATAAAAGTGAGTATGAATTAAATATAATAATATTAAATATATTAAAAGTTTGATTATTTTTAGGTTATTTCTAATAATGGAATTAAATATAAAATATAGTAAAATATTTTATAGTTATTGTAATCCAAAATCAACCTCTACATATGTTTTAGTTATACGTATTATTAATGATACAATAAAAAATTTAACATATGTGGATATACGTAAAGCATATAATGAAAATATATATACAAAATTTACCAAAGAAGGCGTATGTCTAAGTAAAAAAGAGTTTATTATGTTATTACCATATTTAGAAAAAAGAAGAAAATTCATACAATTTGGCACTAAGTATCGAAAAATAAAATTTGAAAATGTTATTGGTGGAAATAAAATAAGTGTGATTAAAGTGGATAAAAATGAATGTAATAATTTAATACTATATGAATATGAATTATCTAACTTATTATTTTATAAGAAAGATATTATTTATCATCTAAATTAAAATGTATTGAATAAAAATAAATAAAAATAGATAAAAATAAATAAAAATAAAAAAAAATAATAAATAAATATAATCAAAAAATAGGTGCACAATTAAACATAAACAAAAATAAATTAAATAAAAACATAAATAACACTTAAAAATCATTGTTGAGCGCACAAAGAGTACTGCCCTCTTTGGCCCTGCCAATGCCCCTTATTTGTTCCGTAGAACACGGCGGGAGTTAGTTCCGTATATTATCTATTTAATATCTATTAGTTAAACTAAATAACCAATCCCATAGTAGCATACATTTCACTTCAGCACATCTAAGAATATTAATATTAGGAACCAATCTATTATGAAAATGACATGCTATTGGTATCTTAGTGTAAAGTTTTTTTAATCTACAAGTACTAGGACATTGTAGAACATTTAGATCTACAAATGGGATATCCAAAATAATTAATAGATCTTTTAATTGTTGGTTTTTTATACCCAAATATATTTTAGTATCAGTTTTTACTTTATTATATAATATAGCTATAATCTGTAACGGATCATGTGTATCGTTAAATTTAATTTCATTGTTAGAAGTGCGCATAGACATGCCTAACAAATTATTAGCAATATATAAATTAGTAATCCTATCTTTAACAGTCATATCAACAAACTTTAAGTTAGTCTCACATAAAACATTTTGTTTAAATGTATGTGATATAATAGATATCTCTCTCGGATAAAACTCTTTATCCATATAAAAACCTTGTGCATCCATAATAGCACATATTTTATTTGCAAAGTATGGTCTATCTTTGAACTCCATTATAGGTCTAGTTTTTTAATCATAAATGATAAATCTCTAAATGTATTTAATGGGTATCCCTCTTCTATAAAAAATCTTTCAATCTTATGTTTATACATATTAGCAATGTCTGCTAACGTTTTATTAATCATAATTGTATCTGTGATGACTATTAAAAATTTTTCATCATATATAATCTTTATTTGTTTATATATTCTATAATAATCGTTAAAAGATTTATATACTTTAGATAAACGACAATCACAGATTACGTAATAATCTGGCAATACTGTCGTTAATATTAGGAGAAAAGCTAAAGACACTCCTAAACGATTCAAATGTTCCGCCATTAAAAAAGTTTGTTAAAAAATAAATACAGTATAATCCGCAGGTATCTGAAAATACACTTTGAAAATTTATAGTATTATAATAATAACCATGTGTTATATTATCTTTTATAAACTTTAATATATCTGTATGTAGGGGTTGAATACCAAATGAATCAAAATAAACAATATCACCATTGATCGACTTATATATTGTAACCCAATGTTCTCCTGGTAAAGATGAACTATCTGTGTTTATAATTATACCCGTACCTAAAGGTATAGTATTTGGTAATAAATCTCTAGGGTAAGTACCGTAATATATGTCACAATTTCTAAAATAATGGTTAATCTCTAATGTATTCATGGAAAATCT